CTCCTGATGCTCGTTTCGACCATGTTCATCTGGATTTGGTAGGACCTTTAAATCATACAATAAAAAATTATAGGTGAAAATAAAGCTTATAATAAGAGGAATATAAATATACCTAATCTAATTATTGAACTGTTATACCATAAGAATGTATAGATAATATTAGACAATTAATGTGCCACAGAAGTTACGCGTGATTTAATCTTCGCTCGGATATAACAGGTTTATCTTGTACAACGAACCTCCTTATAACAAGGGAGTTTTGGATAAAAATATTAGACAATGGAAACTCAGTGGATGTTGTCTACATAGATTTCATCAAAGCATTTGACAAGATGCCAACAAACAAACTGGTTTTAAAGCTAGAAAATCCTGGTATTTCCGGACCTCTATTAAAACGGCTTAAGGATTTCTTAGTAGGTCGTAAACAGAAAGTAGGAATAAATTCTAAGTGTTCCACCTGGAGACCAGTACTTAGTATAGTACCTTAACGTTCTGTCCCACACCTTTTACTTTTAACACTGTATGTAAATGATCTCCCAAGTATAGTTGAGTCCCAAATGTTATGATATGCTGACGATGTAAAAATTTGGCGAGAAATAACGGGAGATGAAGATACACGCGCACTCTAGACAGATTTAAATAATGTGATTAACTGGTGTCTACCAACCTTGGCAAAGTGCTTGTACATGCAATTTGGGGATACGAAGGTTAATAGGGGAAAGTGCCTGTACCCGTGATCCGGTTTCACAATCTTAATACGGCGGCCCATTGCCGGTAGGTCGCAGCTAAGGGGTTTAAAACCCTCTGGGTTTTAAACGGACATTCAGTTAGATACTAACATGTTCGCTACAGCATACACAACCTTAGTGAGAACTAGGCTTGAAAACTGCGTTCAGGCTGCAAGGCCCTGTTTAAAAGGTAACTCGAATATCTTGTAAAAAGTACTGAGGGCATCTACCTGTACAATCCAGAACTCCATACAATAAACGGCTTGAAAAGCTAAACCTCTTTACTCTGTCCTATCACAGACTAAGGGGTGATCTAATTTTGATGTAAAATATACCAATAAACGATTTCGGACCTAACATATTCTCCCTTTTTCTTCCACTAGATCGGGACATTTCAGAGGACATAGCAGGCGAGTATAAAAGCCATGTACGAACAAAACACCGTGGAATACGGGTTTTTAGGCAGAGTCATCAATACTTGGGACCTGCTGCTCGAAGTAGTGTTGTCCACACCTTCAATTGACTCATTCAAGAGAAGACTGGACACTCACAGAAGCATACTAGAAAAGGAATAACATAAACCGTAGGCCCTCTGTCCTTACTACAGAAATCTGAAATCTCTCACTGAAGTGAACCCCTGCAACAACTAGAGAACTAGAGTAAAGTTCAAGTCTTCCTTCGAGATCCTGTCAATATTGATGTCTGTATAGATCTTCACATCTCATTGGTTCTGGTTATTAATAAGTTAACATGAATGTTCGTGAGACTTATCTTAAATAGATGTTTTCATGAGTAAAAATTAGACATTCAAGTACTCTGCCAGGATGAAGTGTATTATGAGTTATATTATAAATCACTGTGACCTCCCCTTAATCCTTCTTTACATCCTGGGTTGCAAGTTCAGAACTCCCAGAAGTGATGAGTAGTTTTTTTACAGATCGAGTAAATTGTATGTTCCTACTTTTTAAATTCATTTTAAAATGAGAACATAACAGTCCTTTCTGGATGAAATCCTAATTATGCACTTAAAACAGTTTATATTTGTTATGAAGTCCGGCTACATAAAGCCATAGAGAGAAATACCTAGAAGGACTGTACTTTGTTGGCTACCGAATCCTAGTGAGAAGAGGTGCCGAGGGTATCGCTTAGGACGATGCCAAATCCCTTTACAGTGGTGAAAACTGAGACATTTGAAAGACTCAAAAAGTTTACTGTTAGCATTTTGCATTAGCTAGTATCAATAGGAAGGGGATGATAGATGACTTAGCTGTGCACCTTATTCGATGATTCTTGAAAAGTAAAGATGTCGGCAAGACCCCATATCTTACTGAGATCATCTGAATATAGTAGAGTCTGTGGTTCTTAAGTATAACTTAATCTATCGATGAGCAATAATCATCAACCGACCTTGGAACCAAGCCTTGTGGGACTCCACCTGTTATTGATAAAGCGGAACTAACTTTGAAGGTTAATGGTCTGTAGATCACCAAGTACGTGATCCATGTGGATGATTTAGTGCCTACTACGGTTAGACGAGAAGTACCTGGCCTCCCAGCTCACTTCTAAATCACACATCGTGCTTGATACTTAACATGGATTAACCTTCCATTGTATCCAGATACTATTGGTACTTTGATGACTGTAACACACATAACGTTGTTACAATAACGTAATAGTAATAGTAGGCATTAGAAAAAGTAAATGACCACTGCTGCGTGCACTTGTCTATATGTGCGAACGACTGAGATGCTTTTATTTTCCTTGACTCTGACGGGACTCGATGAACTGTTTGATATGTAGTGACTTGATTGTCGGATGATTTGTCTAGTTCTCAGTAACATTTTGCCGGCCCTACATGTATCTCCTATAATTAACCTAAAGTCAACTTCATCAGAAACCCAATAGTTCTGGCTAGATTTAGCTTCCGGAAGAGCTCGACGATTAACTCAATCTAGTGCTCTGGAGGGATCTACAAGGCTGACCCGTATTAAGTAGATATGCCTTCCTAGACGGCCGGTAAACTTATAATACAAAGTCTGCCAAGAAGAAAGTCATGTGGCAATAAGAATAGAATAAAGTTATCAGGAAGACGGGGCAGAAGAAATACACCAATAACTCGTTAAATGATCTTGACCATCGAAGAGAGCAGGAATATTAGTCAGAGATCGATAGTTTCTACCTTGTTACCACCATTGTGTACAATTTTTACAGTTAAACGATATTCCATTTTTAGCAAGCGAATACTTGAATAGCATATCAAAAGAAAATCAACGTATATTTGTGCATCTTTTTAGTACACTGTTAGGTTCTTTCTGTACCGGTAAATTTATACGGGTTCTGGAGCATCAAGATCTGTTTGGCTTCAAAACCCTCAATGCACAGTTGACTGTGGAAAACACTTAGCTTGCTGTCGACTGGTTGAGATATACCAGATCAGGAGTTATTACATTATAAATTTACGGAGTGAAGAACCTGTATACTATTGAGGTACTTCGGTGTAGTATATTCAGTTCATGTTATCCCCTTCCTTTCACACGGCTATAAAAACCCGAAGACTAGATCAAATTGGCCTGATAGATTGATCCATCTTATTTGATTTTTAACTCATATTCACTGCGTAATGCCTTGCGAGATAATCATTCTCTCGTGTCGTCGTGGAGTAATCTAAGCTGCCACAAGTATTCTGAGTTTCATAACGCCTAACCAGTAACACCTTTATAATCGAAGTATGCTAAACCAGTCAAGTCAGAAGTCAGAGATGAAGGAGTTCGGAGATATAATTAGAAGGCTATCGGTATGTCGAAGGGATGTTTGATCTAAACTGGCCAGTAGTCGAAAGGGGTGTGTAGCACGGCGTACACACTCATGATTTGGTGCGGATTCGTGGTCGAGCGCCTTCATCTGGGTGAGTCCAGTGGAGCTAATGCGGTCAGCAATGAATGTCGATTACTTACAGAGCTATGGATCTTTGGGATTTATTCGCTGCTACAAATCATCTGCTCCAAGCTATTAGTTTGGTGCTAATGAGTTTGCTGGTAGGATAATTATCAACGGAGAAAATGTGAAGTGTTTGTTCCGTAACCACTAAAGTTAAGTACGTTAGTCGATGGACTGAAGCAGAGTGTACTTCAAAAAATCCCACTATTTGTTGATGTAAACTCAGTTGTGGTCATTCAGCTTAGATAGTTTTTCGATTTTTACTTTAATATCATTAGGGTTATTCTAGCAGCAATTCTTATATAAAGCGAGTCCAGGTGACAAGTGACAATGACAAAATTAATTTTCCAAGATGGAGATAAGTTTATTATTACAACTTTCTGGATACATAAATCATCTTTAAGCATTTTTATTGCTATTGTTTCGATAAACCGGAGAGGAGCTGAGTCTTTTATTTGTTAATAATTTTGAAGGTTTGTGAGATGTCAGTAGTATGTTCGGTATCAATTAAATGCTGAGATATTGCACTGTCTAAAGCTGTTGTGGCTCTCAGTTTCAAGTTCTTCGGAGCGTTCCCGGAAATACGAACATGTACTCTGTCAGTCTGTGCTTCCACATCTGTATCAGATCCTCCTTGTTCACCAATGATGCTGCCCGACATGTGAAAGTTTACACCTCGTCATCAGCCTCTCCATCACGTGTGGCTGAGTTGGTGGTCGCTGTATTGCGTTTCAACATCTGGCCTTTCCTCTAGCACTGTCTACTGCGACAGAGGCTGCTACTAATGAATTACAGTATCCTAAACACTCCTGGTTATCATTTAAAAGACTTACTGAAGTCCATTCCGATACAAACCTTATGAACTCTGCTTGAAAAAATAGAGACAGGACATTTTGACATTGATTGTAGGTACGCCTACTAGCTGAGCGCATTAAATACTTCTACTCCACCACAGGCGAAGGTGGTCAAAACAACACCATTTATATCCTTCAAGAGGAGACTTAACACATCACCAAGAACTCGGAATACTATTTTATACCATTGTGCTAGTTCCTTTGTTAATTTTACTTATTTCATGTACCTAGGTCTTTACATGAAGGAATAGGTGATCAATTACTTCTAAACACCATTTGAATTTGTCCGAAACCTGAAATTTTTTATCAGTAGAAGTGCAATATCATAAGTTCCGGTAGACAGAGTTTATCTGAAGCAAAAGAGTTGACCAGTCTCTAAGTTAATCAAAAAAGTTGTTAATCATGAATAATAGAACATTATTCTGAGTCCTAGAGACCTTGACTTCACCTCAACGCCGGCGCTCGTATTGACTTTAGTCACATGGCTACTAAACTAAAGTAGGCTTCAAACTTTTTAAATAAGTCTCCTATGAAGGTTCAAACTAGCTGATAAATTTCAGCCTTGCTTTAACTCTCAATATCCAATCTTCGTAAGTGAATCGCATTGCATAATTATTGAAATACGCAGTACACTAAGTCAGGTAAAATTTATTGTGGAAGAGATGTTGATGACTCACTGTGTATAAATGTACTCGATGAAAATTCGTTCACTTTGGTCAACAGAATTCGGGTAAAGTGTTTGACGTTTTTGCCTTGATTTCAGGATGATGAGGTTATCACATCTTTCGTTGTCGATGAAGCCGGATCGGTAAACACATGTTTAGTTTCTTATTTTGTAGGAGATATTTATTGCTACTAAGAACTTGCTTTTAAAACGTCTTGATAGCCTCTCCCTAAGGCCTACAAAAGTGTGGATGGTAAGTAGTTCATTTGGAACTCAGATTTGCTGCCTAGTCTTGTCACCAAAGAATCGTGCAGAAAATGGCGCTTAACAAAACTTCAACACGATTAGCTACCGGTTCAGGAGATACGGTTGTTAGATTATGGCATATTGGTCCAAAGGAAGGCTTCTCAAAAAGCTGTCGACTGCACCAGGGAATGATAACGTATGTGAACTGTTTTAATTTTATACAATTCAAACTACTGTATTGGTACACAGAAATTAAAGCTAAAAAATTTCCAACAACATACGTCCACAGTAGCGGCTCAGCTGGACTATCTAATGGTTGTTAGCCTACTAAAGAGACGATTCAAATAAACATGTATTTCTAGTTTAAATATTTTCATCTGTTAGCAAAGGACTTTTACAGTTAATCTGACTTCCTATTTGGTCTAAACTAATCGAACAGTTCTTACATTCTTTCTTATCTCAGACTTTTTAGAGTCCAGTATTCCTATCATACGCGGTAACTGTTATGACATTCTTGACAAATCCCAAGTACCTGACATTTTAAAAAGTGGTGGCTAATGGTATATATAAGTGTCATTTTTTTGCATCATAACTATTTACTATATAGGCATTGGGTACATTATGTTACGGAGTTGTCCGCTGCACCATTAAATCGTATGGTCTGATGTGTTATGATCTTTTGGATAGCCAGCACTGAAAGTCCGAACTCAAAAGGCCATCAAAGTGCAATTCTAATGTTCTCGGACTTGACATAGTAAGTGACAGTACTCTGGATGAATTCTTGTACTGAAGTTAGAATGAAGTAGACATTTATAAACTCGTATTTTGAAGAACTATTATGTTGATGTACTCAAAAATGTGGATTTGATCATTTTTGTGCTGGTTGACTTGAATTTTCCAATTTAGCCAAATAAAATGACAGAACATCACTTAGTGATACTATGTTAGGCGTAAAATCACTAACAATTTCAAATGAATGTTTCTCATGCCATATGGTCACGTTTGCTTACACCAGAAAAGTACAACATTAATGACAGAACTCTAATAAAAATAAACGGACTTCGGATATGATTGGCTAAACCGTAATTTACATCTATTCATTCTCTCAACTTGCAAAACGACCATCCATTGTTATGCTTTGCGGTTGTGAAATCCCACCTTTAAATAACACTGTTTGGTTAGGTGGCCTTTGATTTGTTTACTTAATACACTGATAAGATGTTTCTATTTGTATATTGAGATTCCATTTGGTTAGTTTTCTTTCAATGTGCCGTGTGAAGTATAGTATCCCTTAAATGCCATGGTACGGGCGAGGGTGGTGAGAGTCTGCTTTCCCTCTGGAAATGCTCTCAAATGGTCATGCGTATACAGCCTGATTCTAAACCGATGGTACATATGGGCTCCAGAATCCTGAAGGGACAAATGACGTATGAACCTATTGTTGGGCAGTAGCTACCATGGGACTATATCTTGTGACGTTACTCCACTGCCTTGTGGGTTAGAGCTCTAGTTCAAAGGTTCGGGGATCGACTTCCCGAGAAAACTATCTGCTTTTATCTGAACACCAGGAATAATATCAATTTTGTATCTGACAAATATTTTCCACAATATGAAAACGTACTTAGTAGTATGTGGCTGTATTACAGAAGTCAAGATAATATCCTACACTGGTGAAAATTTTAATTTCTTGATTCCTATTTTCGGATCAGTTTCATCAAAGGAAATATCCACGTTTATTATTTTATTTTTGATCCATGAATTCTCTTCTATTATTATGAAGTATTTTATTAAAAATTTCCTGGATTTCGCTCCCATTACAGACTATTGAAATTCCATCCGACATTACCGTACCTTTTCTCATCGTCAGTGGGTGATCACTTTGTAGCTGTGTGGGACACTGAGACTGGAAAACATGTCTCTTCTCTTGAAGGTCATCAAAGCATTGTTACAAGTTTGGACTTCAATGCTGGAAAGAATGAATTAGTTACGTAAGAAACAAAATTTATCTCTATCATGTGTTTTCAGATGTGGGCGCGATAAAGTTCTTATTGTCTGGTCGTTCGTAGACTTCACAAAGCAAAAAGTCATACCTACCTTTGAGGTAAGTCATGAAAAGGAATATTTAAACGTGCATTAGTTGATCACTGGGTCCTAACGAATTTTATGTTTGTCTAGTTCTAGTGCTTATCAAACTTGATTAATCAAGTTATGACGTAACCACCAGTCTCAGTGATTCAAGATCCTGTCCACTATGCTTAATATTAGGTGATTGGAGGTTGTTTGGCACGTGCGATGTTCAATGGTGTAGGAGTAGGTTGGAATATAGCTAGGGGCGGCCAGACCAAAACATGGCACAAATCCATGAAGTCACTGACAAGTGAACTGAGCTGTGTTGGTAGGTGTAGACTACCTGGTTGGGGACCGCGAGGTGATAACAACCGATGGTTAGAGACCCTGAATGACATGGCTCAAAATCGTTTGCTATCGCGCAGGTGCATCCACTCTTTGTGTTGTTCCCAATTCTAATCTTGTGAATTCTTCATGTCCCATTTTTCTCTTTCCAAATTTATTTCACTGTATTGTACTCCTTAAATAACATCTTCAAACCCTAATCTTTTCGATTACTGCTTATACTTTGATTACCTCTACCACTATGGGATTTGAATCGACAATTGTATCTCTGTGCTAATGTGGTATGGCAACTCGAACTGATGTACGTACGTACCAAATTCTACGTTGTTACTGACTGACTGGTTGGCACCAGTTGGCTAGGCGTACCTGTAATCTTGGGTAACTTGATGGCCTACAATTGGTTGATCACTGGGTAACGGTCAGTGTCATGTATCTCAGGTCTTTGGTACAGTCATTAGTCTAGGTGACTCAACACTGAGTGCTTCCGACAAATGATTTTAGTCGCTACCCAGCGACCAATCAGTTGTAAATACATGTTAGTCCTACGGGCGGTCAGTCTCGGCCCGGATAGCTCAGGAATAACGACCATGACTGTAAAGCTGGTAACACGTATTCAAATCTACCCAGTCGCATCAGTTGGGGGCAATCACAATTCTGTTTTTGACCGGTATTTAACTAAAATAATAAAAATTATCTGTGTTTGTAATTGTGTATATCTGTTACTGTGCTTAACAACAGTTCAGTTCAAGTTGTAAAACAGTTGACAAAGTGTTCCCTTTTATGTATATATGTACCAGACTGAAAGAACTCAGAAATTAATCAAAAATTTCGTCAAATATCCATTAATAATATTCTTTGCCGTGGTATATATGTAGTTTGACTAATCCATAATTCATGTGATAAACATAATACGCACTTACTTTCGGTATGGAGAACCGAAATGTTGGCAAACGTTAACCATGATCAGTGTTTCTAACCAGCTTGAATAAGTTTGTGCTTGTTTTACATATGTAAAAATGTACTCGTGTGACAGTTTAGTGTATCGTTATCAGCGTACGACTAACTTTGATAGGGATAAATATTATTTAGTATTCCTGTATGGTGATATCAACTTTGCAGGTTTTAAACCGTAAGGAATCTTAGTAGCGAATGTGTTGTAGTTATTCACTGAAAGTATGCAAGATGATAACATTGAGACAAAGCTAATCTGAATTTTTCAAGGTATTTTTATAATCCTAAATATTAATGCAGTGCAGACGCGATAGATTTAGCTAATATTTATGTTGTTTCTTTAAATAGCGTTTTTGATCGTGATGCACACCATAGCAATCTTCTCTTTTAATGTTTCGAAGGTCGATATTTTGTTGAGAAGTCTTTAAATAGATTATGGATACCCAAGTAATATAGCCTTATCAGTGATATTAATAGAACGTAGTTTTCTTGGATGAGGTCCACAAGGTAGTTAAAGTCGATGGTTGGAGACCTAGATAAATACGGCATGAAATCTTACACAGTGAAGGAACTGCTATGTTTTTTCATTCTAAAGTCTGAAAAGTTCTGTCACCTTACTTTTCGTATCGATTTGTTTTTTATTTACTCCCTTCCCCATTTATCTTATCTTACTGCTGCGCTGTATTGAAGTTTAGCAACCTGAAATTATACACTTTGTGCCAGGTCCAAATTCAGTACACCTATTTATCAGTTTCCTGAACTAAACTACAGAATTTATAACTATCTGTAATGATCAATTTTATCAACAAAAAAGTATATTTCTGTTTAACTTTTACCCAGTAAACTTTATCTTCTATTTGATTGGATTAACTTGATTTTGTTAGATGATAAATAACTTACAAAATTCCTAATTATAATTTTCATATTTCTCATTTTTATAGAGCTTAGAAGCTTGTACTTTCCTTCCTGTTGGCGCATTAACAAATCACTTGGGTCACACGTTTTCTGAAAGCAATACTTCTTTATTGTTGACTGGCGGTCAGTGGGGCTGTTTGCGTTGCTGGGATGTAGATACTGGGCGTTGTGTGTTAGAGATCAAGGGTCCCTTAGATCGGACTCCTCAGTCTGATTCTGGTAGTTCCACTGCGTTAGATCGCCACTCAATTGACTATGGACTTCATTCCATCAGTCATTTGAATGTATACAATATAAAAGACAGTAATGATAATGTGTTGGATGAAAGTGAAAACTCATCCTTACGATTAATTCTTGTGCGTCAAAGTAATCATGTTGAATTTTATAACCCAATGGTCGGCAAATTAACAGCTGAGGTATAGTAGTTTTATTTTTAATTTGTTCATCTCATAATTTTTTGAAAATATAAGTTTGTTATTCGTAATGCTTCCGAACACCAAGTGTAAAAATAGTGCAACATATCTGGTATTATTAATATTATACGCATTAATATAACTCACTTATGATCGGTTGAATGTATGTGGTGATTTGTTTTTGCCTCTTAAAGTGGATTGTTTGTTTTAGTGTTAAAGCTGTATCTTTGAACCACGTTTCATCCAATTCATTTCAAACCACTGGGCATTATCACTGCCTTCATAGATTATAATCTATCTCGACCAAATACACAAGATAATGTCTCCATTTTCACTCATACATTTCATACAATTGTGAACACTAACTAATCGGATCCCGTAGTCTAGACAGACAATGAAAGGTTTATGAATAACCCATCCAACTTAGAAAATGCGACGCGCACGAAATCCCCATCATAAACTACAAATATTCTCTATATCAAAAAATTATTGCAAATCAGCAGACTACATATATACTAGTACTGTAAAAACTACGGTTATTTCAAGTTTTTGGTTTGTTCTAAAACTTTTGGTTTAAGTTTACTAGAAGTCATATTGTCATCGAGATCAGTGCTCTGTATATTATCTATTTCCTAAAGAAAACTTACACACACCCATCACTATTCACAAATTGGGATAAGTAACATGATTGTCACCCTTCTTACTGATTTAGATAGTCAAATCATAACAGGTTTATTGTTTAGTTCGAGTAAGATGGCAGATTAGAATACGTGAAATTGAAAACCTAAAAGGTTATACTACCTCTTTCTGCCCTGAATAGAGTCATCATTCGTTTTCTACAACCCTTACAAACATATGTACTTACTTACTTTCGCCTGTTACCCATCGTGGAGGAGCGTAGGTCGTCTACTAGCATTCTCCATCGAACTCTGTTCTGGACAATCCTTCCCAGTTTTTTCAAGTTACTATTCATCCTTTTTATTTCTGCTTCCTATTCCCGACGTAATGAGTTTTTTGGTCTCTCCCTTTTCCATTTCACTTCAGGAATCTAAGTTAGGGCTTGCCTCGTGATGCATCTTTTCCTAATTTCCTCTTCGTCTGGAAGTTGGTTTGTTCTCTCCTAAACATAACATGTTTTTATTAGCATGATTAGAATTTTTTTACACTAAATTATCTTGTTAGACGTCGGATTACTTTCATTCTTATGCGGTTGTCTACGATTGTTTGGTTTAATAATGTTCGCTTGTTGTTAATAAGTACATTCCTTAACTTACCGTGTATATTACTCACAAATCTGATGTCAATTTATATTGTTACTGCAAACCACAACAAATGTTGGATAGGTCAGTTTCTCAAAACGCAAAAGTCCTTCCCAAGATCACTGACTATTGGCTTGAGCTATTTCGCTAGAAGCAGATCAGCTGGTTAGAGTCGCGTGATAATAATGATCTTGGTGGTTGAAGACGCTAATTGATGTGATTCATCCTCTTTTCTCAAACCATATTCTCAATGTTTAATCTCTCACCATCATTGCTACTACTATTGTAGTAGACGAGAACACAGGTGGGGACAGCCAAATTTATTTTAATACAGAATTACAAATTATCTTGGTAAAATATAAGAACCATACACTGAACACTTCATTTGCAGATTTTCATCATTTTACCTTCGAATTCCTCTCTATTTTACCTTTTATTCTCTCTAACTCGATCTTCTTAGTCTTCTGCTGCCATTTTTTCCGCTTCTGATTTGTGCTGCATACTACTTATATCGACATACATAAGTGGCATACACCGTACTATTATTCTAATTCTTTCGCTATCTCGTAATAATTTGATATTAGCAATTTGGGCTAAGCTACCTGTGTGTCAGATTCTGCCTTAACTATTCCTGACTGGTTGATTTCAAAATTAGTTTGATCTTTTGTAATAGACCTTACAAATTCCTATCGATACAAATAAGAAGCCAGAATATTCAATTTCTTAAAGTAGAATTTAAATTTCATTTTAACAGTTCTTAGGTGACATTGGACAAGTTGATCAATTATGCATTGTAGGCAAAAATCACAATTATCTTATTCTAGCTGATGCGTCACCTCACATGAAAATTTTCCTCAATCCATATGGACTCAGTTTAAAGGGAAAAAATACAACTGAAGATAATCTTAATAGTAAAACAAATGGTTCATGGAAATGTCACCTTATTCCCGGTGGTCATACTGATGTGATTATGGATTTGACTGTATCCATATGTGGTCAATGGATTGCAAGTGGTTCTAAAGACCAATCTATTTGTTTATGGCATCTAATAGAATCAGAAGATTCAACATCGTCATCACTACATAAATCTAAGAATGTTCCTGTCAAATTGGATCTTATTACTCAAATTCATAAGGCACATGCTGCTCATATCAGTTCTGTTTGCTTTGATAGGTAAGTCAATAAATCTACAAACAAATCTAATCAGTCTCCTGTTTAAACTGATTGAACTGTTTTTCCGTCAATGATTTTAATGTATTTTGGACATAATAATACTTTTAATTTTTTTGTATAAAAAATCGTCCTGGCATAGAATTTGTAAATGATAATGATGTGGATAGCAAATAATAATGGTTAAACTGTATAGAATATCTGAAATACAACCAAATAGCTGTACTTTATACTTCCAGTATGTTTGTTGATTTTCTAAAAGGCATCACGGTTCTCGAGTATTTCAAGTATCTAAGTGTTATGAAAACGCATCATTTAAACGGAATCACTGAGTCTAACATAACTACTATATCATGCACTGGTTTGAATGATATCTTTTACTATCTATGGTCAATAAAATTTGTCTTTTGGAAAAAAAATATGAGCGAATATGTATTGTCATATTCTCGTCTCATCCTATTACTTATCTTTGAAGACGACGAGAAACCACTACAGTTCTTACAACGTACTACACAAAACACTGGTACAAGTGAAGATTTACTCACTTAACGCAAAGATTCTAATCAAATACTTAATAATAGATGATATGCAAGAATAGGATGTGGGTGTCTGATATTGTAGTGAAGAAGAACACGGGTGAGGACAGCCAAATTGTATTTAGGACAAATTACAGAATTACTTGGTAAAATAGAAAAACCATATAGTAAATCGTTAATTTGCAAAATATCATTCTATCATATCAAACCGGGCTGTTGCTGTTGCAAACATCAATCCATTGTCTCGCATTTCATTGCTCATGCAGTTTCTAACAAATTCCATTGTTTTCTCGCTCTTCTTTTCTTGATCTTCTCCGTCTTCTGCTGCCAGACATTACGTTCTTTTGACTCACGTTATATACTACTTATATCAATATAAGTAGCACGCACCACACTCGTCCCCCCTTTTAACAAGTTGCTGTCGTAGTCTTTCTGATCTCCGTACCGCTGTGTTCTTTGGTGCTTTTCGTGATTCACACCCATGATGATCTTGAAGCCATCGCTGTAGTTGACTAGCATTTACGCGCTTCTGCTTGTCTTCTCTCCGGATCGTGTAGACCGAGCCGCGTCTCTCCGTGATAACATACGGTCCTTCCCATTTTGGGGCCAGCTTCCCCGACCCTGCTCCCCCTGCTATGTTACTTTTTCGTTCTCTACACTTTACTAGGTCCCCCACTGCAAAGGGTTTCCACGTTCTCCTCTGTTGTTCTGCCTTCTTTGTGTCTGATATTTGTTTCTTTTCCACGTTCCTTATTGCCTCTCTCCTCTCTTTTCTTAACCTTGTTGTCGTCCACTTCTGTTGTTGTGGCCAGGTCTTATTATGCATTGGAAGTCGTGGTTGTCTGCCATACATGAGCAAGAAAGGTGACTTCTTGGTTGTTCCTTGTGTGGAGGAACGATGTGCCAGCAAAATCAATGGTAACTCTTCCTCCCAATTCCCTCCTTTTGATGCTAACCATTCATTTAACGTCCGATTGTTTCTCTCTGTAAGCCCGTTTGTCTGAGGATGATACGGTGTAGTTCGTATTCTCTTGATGCCAAACTGCTTTAAACGGGCTTTAAACTCGTCACTTTCAAAACAGGGACCCTGGTCAGTTAATATCATCTTCGGTATTCCGTGACACGCTACAATATGCCGGATTACCACCTCGGTCACTGTCCTTGCCCGCTGGTCTGCAATGGGTACGGCATCTACCCAACGTGTAGCATGTTCCGTCATCACTAACAGGTACTGGTTACCGCTCGCCGTCTGTGGAAACGGTCCCATCACATCCACCGACCATAGATCACCGACTGCGGTTACTGGGATTGACTGTAATGGCGGTTGTGTGTATCGATCGCTTTTCATTAGCTGACACTGCTGGCAGGTTAACACGTATTCAGCCACATCTTCTCTCATGCTCGGCCAGTATGCACTTTGTCGTAGTAAGTCCGTCGTTCTTGCGATGCCTGTATGTGCTACCTGGTGACACTCGTGTATCACTTTACGCCGCCAGTCTTTCGGGATCACCGCCACCCAATTCTCATCATCGTCCTGCCAGGTCAGCACTCCATATGAGTTCACTCTCAGTCGGTCCTTTTGCCGAAGCAGCGTTATTACCTCCTTGTCCATTGTTCGTTTATCTACGTCTGCTCCCTCTTTTATCACTCTGATTACCTCTCGAAGGTTAGGGTCAGCTTTCTGCTGCCGGACGAGTTCTAATGGGTCTCCCTCTAAACTATTCACCGCGTATGCTGTTAATGGCAGGTCGGCTTCCATGTCTGGTCTTGACAAGTAATCTGCCATTACGTTTTCTTTTCCTGGAACATGGCCGATACTGAAATCGTATTCTTGCAGGCGTATCATCCATCGCGCCAACTTCCCTCGGGGGTCTCTTGCTGTTTTCAACCACTGCAGGGGTTTATGGTCGGTCTCAACGTGAAATCGTCTACCTAAAAGGTATGGTCTCCATTTTTCCACTGCCCACACGATCGCCAAACACTCCTTTTCGATGGTTGAATACTTCTGTTCAGCAGGTGTGAGGACGCGACTCGCGTATTCCACCACTCTATCAGCCTGACTCAACACAGCACCTATACCATGATCACTCGCGTCTGTGGCCACTGTAAACAGTCTTCCCGGTTCAGGCAGTCTAAGCGTCATCTGCCGATCGTCTAGCATGTTTTTGATTCGGTTGAACGTTTGTTCGGCAGCCTCAGTCCACGTAAACTTGGTGCTGCTCAATAACTTATATAAGGGTGCTGCTATTTCGTTGAAATTTTTGACAAACCGACTGTAGAACGCCGCTCTTCCCAGGAACTGTCTCAACTTCCTTTTCGAATTAGGTACTGCAATATTTTTTATGGTAAGAATTTTCTCCGGCAATGGTTTTATTTCTCCATTTCCCACTTTATGTCCCAACAATGTGACGCTACTTCTCGCTATCTGCGACTTGTCCTTATTAATCCGAAGTCCAAATTCGTCAATTCGCTTTAAGACCGCTTCCACATGCTTGATGTGATCTGTTTCTGTTTGACTGTACACAACTACATCGTCGCCATATACCTCGACATTATCTAGATTCTTGAGCAGTAGTGTCATTAATCTTCTGAACGTGAACGGTGCACCCGCCAACCCGAACGGCATTCGTTTAAATTGATACTGTTTATCACGTACAGTAAACGCTGTCTTGCTCCGATCACTCTGTTTTATAGGCAGTTGCCAATAACCTGACCGTAAATCCAGCACTGTAAACACTGTGGCATTCTGTAGCCGATCTAATGTTTCCACCACTGTTGGCATTGCACAAGGCTTCAGGTCTGTTATATTATTCAATTCTCTGAAGTCGACACAAAATCTATACTTTCCATTTGGTTTCTTTACCAAGAGTACCGGCGAGCTATATGGGCTGTCCGCTTCCTCAATTATACCTTCTTTTAACATTTCCTGGACCTGACGATTTACCTCGGCCTCTAAATGCACCGGGACACGACGTGTTGCAAATATATTTACTCGACTGTTCTTTATCGGTATTTCGTGCTTTACTCTGTCACAAAATCCATACGGCTCCCCATCTCCAGTGAATAGTTTGGCATACTTTTTGCATAACTCGTGAATGTTTGGTTTCTTTGACGAGACATCCGCTGCAACTCTTATTTCAGCCACTTCGCTACTTTCGTGTATTGTCAATGAACCATATTTCGTGACCACCTTACCGCTTCTTAAGTCAACTATCGCTTTTACTTCTCTTAGGAAATCTGCTCCTAATATCGGTCTCGATAAGCTTGTGGTTACGACGAACGGAAAATTTATCTCCGCATCCCCCACTTTTACGATACTGTTAGATACGCCAAACACCTCTAACATATGGCCCCCTATCGTGTGGACAGCTAATGTACACGGCTTGATTCTCTTACATTGCTCTTTGCCTATTAACGATACTGCTGCACCTGTATCGATCAGACAAACTAAATCTCGCTCATTTATGTTCACTCTCGTATATACTGCCCCTCTGTCTACTAACGCAACAATCCCCAGATTCCTAGGATAGAAAGAACACTCGTTGTAACGTCTAACATATCTGCGTCTTCGTCTTGTTGGACAGTTTATCTTCCAATGTCCTGTCCCTCCACAAGCGTAACATTTATCGTTCCTTTTATTGTTCACTCGTATTGCTGCAATCTCGCGCTCCAGCTCCTCAATCTTCTTCTCGACATTACTCATCTCCTGCTTTCCGCACCCGACCGGAGCTACTGTTCGCGTCATCAGCTGACGAGTCACCTTCGCCAGTTCACTGATATCCATCGGTTGCGCTGCGTTCACCAGTTTCAGCTGTTGGGAGACGGTGGCAGGCACACTCTCGATAAACTGTGACGCCAACAACTGTGCCTCCGACTCCTCATCCAGACTCGGCAGCGCACGGCGTAACAATCTGGTAAGCTCCACAGCCAGCACCAGTGGGTCCCCATCGACCGGCAACCTCGCCAAACGGAACTTCTGCAGCGCGTCCTCTCTGTCCACTGGGCTGTCAAACTCCGCCGCCAACCTCTCCGTGACTGCCTCCCATGTGGTCTTCCCGCCAGCACCGTCCAGGCTGTCATACACAGCCTTCGCCCTGCCTCTCAGCAGCGTCCCCAGCACCACCAACTTCGCCTTCGGCTCCTTCACTCCCACCAGCTCCGCCACGGCCTCAAACTCCTTCAGGAAGCTCAGCACATCTCCGTCCTCAAACTCCTTCGGCCATGGAATCTTCATCCTTAGTGGAGGCAGCGACACCAAATGTAGTGAAGAAGAACACGGGTGAGGACAGCCAAATTGTATTTAGGACAAATTACAGAATTACTTGGTAAAATAGAAAAACCATATAGTAAATCGTTAATTTGCAAAATATCATTCTATCATATCAAACCGGGCTGTTGCTGTTGCAAACATCAATCCATTGTCTCGCATTTCATTGCTCATGCAGTTTCTAACAAATTCCATTGTTTTCTCGCTCTTCTTTTCTTGATCTTCTCCGTCTTCTGCTGCCAGACATTACGTTCTTTTGACTCACGTTATATACTACTTATATCAATATAAGTAGCACGCACCACAATATGTGTTCACATGACGTCAGCCGCCAAGTGATCTGAAATCAAAAACAAGACCGTAAGCCAGAAGAATAGGCTTTTTTATGTGACCTGCATTTATTTTCAAAATATCAGCAGAAAAATAAACATGAATAAATGCTACAGGAAATGAGCGGAAATTAGTTTGCAGAGCATTCATTCTCCAATTAACTAATACCTCACTGTTAGACCTAACTTTTGGATATCGTATCAGTTCCATACAAGTTACACCATTTTTATTCACATCGAGGTATTGTAAATTATCCCCGGAACCCTAAGTATAAAGAACAATTTAAGCGATTAAAATACAAACTTCACGTGAATTTTATTAATTTTCACTAGTTTCCAAGGTTTTCAAAAGTTGTAAAGATTAAGGAAATCTAAAGACTTGACAAAAGTTGCTGGTAAAAAAGAAAATACATTGGTATAGCATCACCTTATTCGTGTTCAAGTAGTTTTTAATCATGAAAAATGTTTTTGCTTAGCTTATTTGTAAGAAAATTTGCATATTTATATACTCTATGCTTATTTGTATTATACAGATTGACAACACATCTTATATCTAGTTCAGAAGACGGTATTTTAAAAGTTTGGAATGTTCAGTGTAATAACTTAGATAAACCAGATTCTGTGTTATCAGAATTAAACACAATTCATGGAGCCCATGGCGGAGTAATCAATTCAATTGATGTTTCCGTTGATAATCGTCTTGTTGCTACTGCATCACGTGATAAAACTGTCAAGGTAACTAACAATTTATTGTATTTTCCTTTACACAATGGTCAGGTAACTGAATCTTTGTTCAGTTGTTAATGAAATAATTAATAATATTACACTTCATATTGTTAGTTTTACACGCTCCTATTCATGATGTAGTATTTTGTATTTTTTAACTAATTAATTCGTCCAGTGATTTCACTAGTTTTTTTATTTCATGAAATTTTAGATATGGGAATTTAAAAAACAAAGTTTACATTGTCAAGGGGTTCTTCAGGGTCACCGTAGAGGTGTTTGGTCTGTTTGCTTTTCAAGATTTGAGAAAGTAAGATCTATTCACCTTTTTTATCCTGATTCTAGAGATCTGTTAAAGAAAATGGGTTATTTATTGACGATTTTCATGTTACTTAATTATTTAACAATTAAACCATGTACCACTGCTTTGATTGGAACTACATCAGTAAGGATCATTTCTTGAGAAAGAAGTAAATGTGGTTTGTAGTTGAGTTTAAGCCAACCACTTGGATGTCTCGTTTCAGATTGTATGCTAGTAAAACTTTAGATCTGACACCTGGGCACCTTCTACATATAAAACTTGATTGATACTAATGTGCTAACTAATGGAATAGATATGATATCAACCAATCAATAATATTTGAATTCATTTTCAATCCCTACATTAATAATCATCATGTGCTCTCCGGTGGATAGCTTTAAGATGCAATTCCCGTAGGTCGAGTGAGAAGCTATGACTAGTAGAGCTCAGACATGTCAAGTGTGGAACAGTTATCCACAGTACTTAATTAAAGGTGGTCGCGCAATATCATAAATTGATTGAAGTCAGATATGTACACTGTTGAATTTCGGGTCAGTAGTCTATGGTTAAGTGTCCACGTGTGAGACCGAATATCCTGGATCCGATCTCTTGATGGGGTTATGAAAGTCCACTGGCGTGGAGTACTATACTAAGAAGAAACAACTGTCCAGTGTTTCCTAGTATTCAATAGTGGCTTAACTAAGATTAGTATTTTACTGATCTTCTCAAAACCTCATACTGAAGATAATAATTAATGTCAAGCTCACATTCAAGGTGGTGAATGCAAAAAATCAAATCTTAGTATACAAGAGCACAAAATAACTGGTCCAATGTTGTAGCCAAACAGATTAAGAAGGTATCGACCAATAAGGCAACAGTCGATTTATAATTCAATGATAAAATTCCAGAATAGAGAGTAATTCTTAGCTTATTTTTCCTATGTTTAATCCTTATCCTATTTACTCACTTTAATAATTTTCTTATATTGATTTCGTGTTTTTATACCATTAAAAATGTGACAACCTATTGAGCGAGTAATATGTTCATAGGACACTCTGTTTATACATGCATATGTTCGAGTGAAAATTAATGTATGGTAGTGAGAATACAACAGTTTATTCTAGGATACTTGTACCTTTGGCAGAATTAAGAATGATTACAAACTGAAATCATTCTTTTTTTTTTACTGTAATTTAGATATGCTTCACTCAAGATTTTTTTTGTGTGTGTGTGTGTTTAATAGTCCTTTAATCATTTAACAAAAGAATTTATTGAACTTGTATACTGATCTAATGGAATTAAGTGAACTTGAATCAAGAATTTGCCGTTCACTGGCATTAGTATTGCTTCCGTAAATACAGAAATAGTCTTATGTTGATAGTCACAGAGAATTTTCATAGGATTGAATTAATAATATTGGGCTTAATTATAGATAACTTCATGCGTTATCTTCAAACACAATTAATTCAACTTTAAGTTAATACTCTTTTTGTAGTAGAATGATGCAAGCTAAAGTAAAAATTTCCTTTCCTTTCGTAATAAACCATAACTTCATGAACAGTTTCATTGTATTTTTTTGATTGAGATCATAAACCGATTGATGTTAGACCATCATTGAAAACCTGGAAGCATTAGACGGCCGTTTCGTCCTATTGTGGGACTCCTCAGCAGTGCGCATCCACGATCTCAGGGCCACTACTGAGGAATTCCACAATAGGACGAAATAGACATCCAGTGCTTTCAGGTTTTCAGTGGTGGCATAATATCAATCAGTTCATGATCTTAATCAAAAAATTAACGATCTCCACGACCCTATACTGATAGTTTCATTATGTGTTATGAATTGTTTTCCTTTTAATTTATATTTGTCTTTGGTAAAACGAAATATTGTACAATATTTGTTTGACATTATTTTTAAAGATTGCACTTACTGCTTCGGGTGATGGAGATGTAAGATTGTGGAATTTAAAAGATTTCTCGTGTATCCGTGTAAGTTGTTTAAATGGCTTTTTTATATATTTTAATTTAATTCATTATGTTACTCATGAGTAGCGTCAGGTGAAGCAGATATTCAACTCAGTAATTTATTATCTTGTTAGTGAATCCAGTTATATCTGTTGTCAGTTGTAAATATGTATTAAATCATTAGTTAGTTCATGTCAAGTAATCCCCCATTCAATGTATTAAAACTGAATTATTGATCAGATAACGAAATCATATATGACCCATTGTAATTGTTGGTACAATGTTTATCAGTTGTGTATTTGAAGTTGGTGTCTAATAAAATCTTCATCCACAGTTTTACCTTCCTATTCAGTAAGTAGCATCAGTCTTCTTTTCGTTATATAGCAGTAAGTAACCAGTTGTGTCCTCAGTTATAAAAATGGCCATATCATTATTTTGTCAAATTACAACAAGTTGTTTCCCAATATACATCATAATTGCATCTTCTGGTCTCTCAACCATACAATTTGTTCATTGATTGTACTTTGAATTACTCACAGTCATGTACTGATTTTAATTACTAGAATTTGTATCTGATTGTTCGATAAGCAACTGATGAATCTGAATGTTTTTCTAACAGACATTGAACAGCGAATCGATTTATAGTCGGTCGAATCCACTCACTTTTGCTGTCAAAAGCAATTTGTCTCATGAAACCTACGTTTAGTATGTTGCGGAAATTTTCACAACTGCTTTTGTAGATTTTCCCACTATTATCGTTTACCCTTTCACTACATGTCAATCATTCAAATGTATCGAGATAAAGTACACAAACGATTAGACTACAATTTTCGTCCTTCGAATACAAAATATTACTTCAAGACATCTACATCACCTCATTGCATGAATATGTTGGTCGAAATGGTTGATTACTTTGCTAACTTCATTTATTTACAAAATCTCCTATTTGCCTTTGTGTGTTGGTGATCGAATAAATATTTATAGCACCACATTGTTACTTATATACACCTGTTACTCCTAATAAAGCATAGGCCGCCGACCAGCATTCTCCAACATACTGTCCTGCGCATTCCTTTCCAGTTCTATCCAATTTTTGTTCATTCTTCTCACGTCTCTTTCCATTTCTCGGCGTAATGTGTTCTTTGGTCTTCCTCTCCTCCCTTGGCCTTGAGGATTCCATGTGAGGGCTTGCCGTGTGACGCAGTTGGGTGCTTTCCTCAATGTTTGTCTATCCACTCCCAGCACTTCTTCCCAATTTCTTCCTCCACTGGCATCTGGTTTGTTCTCTCCCACAGTAGGTTGTTGCTGATAGTGTTTGAACAACGGATCCGAAGTATTTTGTGTAGACAACTGTTAATAAACACCTGTATCTTGTGGATGATGGCTTTCGTAGTTCTACAGGTTTCCGCCCCATCCATTAGAACCGTCTTAACATTTGTATTGAAAATCCTGACCTTGGTGTTGTTTGACAGACAGTTGTTTTGAGTTGCAGATGTTCTTCAATTGTAAATATGCTGCTCTTGCTTTTCCGATCATTGCCTTCACATTCGCATCAGATCCACCATGTTCATCAATGATGCTGCCCAAATATGTAAAGGTTTTTACATCTTCCAAATCTTCTCCGTCAATTGTGATTGGATTGATAGCACCACATTATTGATAGTCTTTTAAATCGTTATCTTTAGATTTTATACAAAATATAGTGATTTACTCTTCCAGTTAATTCATGATTTATATCTTACTTTATCTATATATTGCATTGAATAACTAACTTTATTTTCACCAATTGTTAATTTTGACAAATATTTGTGAAAACAATCAAGTTGCTAACACATACTTATCCATTCATTTTATTCGGGTGAATTATGGAGATTGGTCTATTAGTACATAACTAGAAGGTAGATTACTGAGGTTTTAGAACTAGAAGTTGTGATGAGAGGTGTTCATCAAACATATTGTTTTCGTTAATGACAGACGTGCCGTACCACGAATAGACTTAGATTGGAAGTGTAGACTATTGGATTTTTACTTAACATTGTAAAGTTGATGTGCTACATGTGAGTCTTAAATTTCCTGGATTCTATTCCTGATAGAGTCATGTATGTGAAATACTGAGTAATTTCACGCTAGAATTGGATATATGTTCAATAACCTGTTGTTTTTCAATAGTTTTTCCACTGCTATCAATTCGTGATTAAAACTGTCTCTTCATTGCTATGTTAATTTCATTAATTTCAGACATTGGAAGGCCATGATCAACCAGTGTATAAGGCAGTTTTTCTTTCTCACGATAAACAAATATTATCATGGTAAGTTAATGGTGGACAAGTAGAAGAAAATAATATTGTTGTCCACATTCTCTATACATATTATAGAAGTTGTAAAATGCGAAAGTAAGTAATGAAGACTAGGAATCAGTCCGTTAATTCTAGCTAATATACTTTGTAACCTAAGGAAATCTCATGTCATATGCTTTGATCATGTTTACACGATTGGATAGATAGATAGAATGGCGTAAGTGTCCGCTCTTCATCTCAAAATGCTCTCACATGGCCACACATATACAGCCACTGCCAGGGAAGTCCTACTCACTGCCTCCTCACGGTGGGGGTGTTAATTACGAAATTGAGAGGACGAAAAGCGAATGTCCTGTGCTTTAACGGGGTTCATGAGTACAAAGGATCCAGCTAGGAAGTTGGAAAACCCTGATTCTAAACCTATGGTGCACATGGACTCCAGTATCCTGAGGGAACAAAAGGCATATGAACCTATTGTTGGTAACTGGTTACCATGGGACTGAATTTCCTTACGATGCTCCGCTAGCTTGTGGATTAGACCTTTAGGTCGAAGGTTCCAAATATGGCCTTCTGATAAAACCACTTGCTTCGATTTGGACACTCGGACAGTATTCCAGCCGTCACACAAGCCAATAGCCTCATTGTTATTGTGTGGCGTATATGTATTCTGTGCCCCATTGTACCAAATTTCGTGTTCAAATAAATAAGTCAAAAGTGTTTATTTTATCTCATATAAAACAAATAAACATATGTCTTTATATCATACATTTTCTCTATCATGTTTTAACGACTGAGTTTTAAGTGGTTAATTGCAATCCCATTTTTTGGAATATATTCCATTTGTACTCTATATTATTACACGAAATAACACTAACCTCCCTGATACTCTCCTACTCCAAAAGGTAATTTCATTCTAGAAACCAGAGAGGACTGATTTAAAAAAGTACATGATTTATAATCTCGATCAAAACTCAACAATCTCCATTTATTTTTATTTATTTATTTTAACACATAGATATTGGTACAAGGAGGCACCAAATACATATTCGCCACATAGATCTCATTTGATTTGTGTGGGGGCTGTGATACTGCCCGGGTGCACAAACCGAAGCAGGCTGTTTTCTTAGGGGGCCACACCCGAAGCCTTCGACTTGAAGGTTCGACCCACAAGGTAGTGGAGCAACGTCACAAGATGCAGTCCCATGGTAGCCGATGACCAACGATTGGTTCATACACCATTTGTTTCTTCAGGATACTGGAGCCCATGTACACCATTGGTTTCGAATCAGGGTTTTCCAACTCCCTTAGGTGGACTCTCCATGTCCACCAACCCGGTTAAAGCGCCGGATATTCGCTTTTCGTCCCCTCAATTTTGTAAACAACACCCCCGCCACGAGAAGGCAGTGAGTAGGACTTCCCTTGCAGAGGCTATATACGCGTGGCCATGTGAGAGCATTTAGAGAGGGAGAGCGGACTCTCCCCACCCTCGGCCGTACCAGGGTCCTATACTGACGAATACGTATAAATTTATGTACAAAAACCTTGAAATTTGGATAGACATTTGTCGTGTTAAAGTAACGTCTTTACTTGCATGGTAAAAATGAAAGATAGTTTCCATGGGGAGTTTAAAGAGTAGATAAATGAAGATTTAATTTTGTAAGTATAAGTAACATGTTTATCTAATAATTCTCTATACCTTAATGTTTCTAACATGTATCTGTCAAATTTCACAAATGACACTTCTAATATTTATTTCTTTTTTTTTCAAATAATATTTTTAAGCGATCAGAAAGGATTAATAAGATTGTGGAATGTATCCAAACCACCTAAAAATAATCAAGAAAAATCTGAAAATGTTGATAAACTATCCTCTGAAGAAACTTCATCTTTAGTTTATGAAGCACACGATGGAAGAATATGGTCATTAGCTATTTGCCCAGATGAATCTGGTTTTTTCACTGGTGGTGAAGATGAAACATTATGTTATTTTGAAGTAGGTGATTAAAATTTATCACTTAACATGTTTTTTTTTAAAAAGGTATAGGATTGTAGAGATTGTTGAGTTTTTAATTGAGATCATGAACTGATCAATGTTAGACCACTATTGAAAACCTAGAAGTGTTATTCTTTTTGTTAATGCCTCAGTGGAGTAGTGGTTCATTGGTTAAGACGTTAAATTCTCAATCTATTTGATTAAAGGTAAGAATCTCCCTTCGCTTACTCCTGTTCTGAAAGTTGGGTAGTATTATATTAACCTTCATAAATAAAATATGGCTGAAAGCTCAGTACACTAAGCTGTACGTGATAAATGAGCTAAATTAATGAGTTGAAAATATAGGCTGACAATTTATTTAAGCAACTAGCTTTCGGAAGATTATCCAATATTCTATAGATTAAAAGATGGAAATGTTAATTTACTTATGAACTACTGGTTTTATGTACTCTACTTGGAGGTGTACTTATTGATAGTAGCCTTGGTGTAAACCATTTCGTAATCCGACCCAGACATCCTCATTGCTTGGTATTCGCCGGACACTAGTTCACTCAACTAGTCCCCAAAATCAGATCGCCACTTGGACGGGTCAGTCAGTCAGTCAGTAACAACGTAGAACTTCGTACGTACGTACATCAGTTCGAGTTGCCATACCACATTAGCACAGAGATGCACTTGTCGATTCAAATCCTGTAGTGATAGAGGTAATAAGAGTATAAGCAGTAATCGGGACGGGTATGTAATTATCTTCCAAATAAACGAAGTTAAATGGAGGTGGATCACAGTAAGGACATTAGTATATTTATAATTTTACGTAGAAACATTCTGTAGTATTCTTCAATTATCCACTAGCGCTAATTGAATAAGAATGTGGCTGATTGACCGATTCGGATTTTCAATCCATCCACCCTCTGGACAATGAAGAAGTGGTATCATACTTGGTCAACACAGGGACTACCTTCACAGTTCCTAGAAGTTTGATTTCGAAGACGTCTAGTAGAGTATGGAGAGGTATTCTACTTCAGTTCTCATTTAGTTTTCCCAATATCATAATTATTTTGACTTTTGATTTACGCATTTTCAGTTTACTTTCCTAGGTGCTTGACATGAAATCTGATAACTTTATTTGATGTACATGTGTATCAGATCCTACATAGCTTATAATTGACAGACTGATCAACAGCAAACTGAAATAAAAATACAGTAGTTTTTTGATGTTTTCTATTTCTACTGTGTATATTTAGAATAGTGAATTACTTGTGATAAAAATTGGTTTGACTAACTAAAGCATCAATAATGAGTTTGTAAATGTTTTTTCTCTCTCTGTTAATGTTAAGGACTGCAATTGATTAGTCTCTATTAGTGTATATGCACTGTAGCGGATTGTCTCTATATTGTCACTGAGTTACAAGTTGCTCGAGTCTCAAATAAGGTGAAACACACTTCTTAGATTTCACTGATAGCTACTATTTATAAGGTTACTAGCACACATGTATTTCGGATGGTTTTGAAGAAATGTATACGATAGTATTATCAGCTTTTACACTTCGAGTGTGGTTCATACACAAGTACCTGGTGAGTGGTCTTTTTTCCTTTCGTATTTTTTATACTACTCGGTTACCCAAACCAAAGTAGGAGAAGCGCAGTTCGAACCTGAGGATTAGTGGCTGAAATTCGAACACTTTACCCACTAAGCTACCTCTTCACTTATGAATCTCGAGTTAGATAGAAATTATCCGTACTTACTTGCTATTAAATAAGCTACTCATGTAAATACGTTTATTCTTGTCTGTTTTGCGTATGAAGATTTATTGTTTAGAAATAATGTATTCACTTTTTTTAAAGGATATTACAGAAATATTGCTGAATGAAACATCACAACAGCAAGAAGAATATATTCAAACGTAAGTCTATCTGTGTTATAGATATTTAAATATATTTTTGAGAAATTTTACCTACCAGTATTCTCCATCCAATTCTGTTGTGGACAATCCTTCCAAGCTGTTTCCGTTTGCTATTAATCCTCTTGATATCTGCTTCCAATTCCCGACGCAATATGTTCCTTGGTCTCCTTTCCTTCTTCCATTCAGGATTCTCAGTCAGTACTTGCCTAGTGATGCAGTTTGATGATGATCCAGTTCCAATATCTTTTCTTAATTTCTTTTTCATCTGGAAGTTGGTTTTTTCTCTCCCACAGTAGTCTGTTGCTGATGGTATCCGACCAACGGACATTGATTATCTTGTGTAGACAATTGTTTATAAATACTTGTACTTTTTAATGATGGTTGTAGTAGGTCTGGAAGTTTCAACTCCGTACAATAGGACTGTCTTGACGTTTTTATTGAAGATTCAGACTTTGGCGTTGGCTTGGAGACAGTTGTTTTGAATTCCATATGTTCTTAAACTGTAGGATCACTGCCCTTACTTTGCCAGTCCGCGCCTTTACATCTGTATCGGATTCTCTTTGTTCATCGATACTACTGATCAGCTAGGTGACATTTTCGACCTCTCCTAGAGTTCCTCCATCAATTGTGGTCGGGTCGGTATTTTCTGTGTTGTGTTTCGAGACCACGCTTTTCCCCTTGTGTATGTTGAGTCCAACTGCTGTAGAGACTGCTGCTACACTAGGCGTCTTCACCTGCGTTAATCTGTATGGGACAGAAGAGCTAGGTCATGTGCAAAGTCCGAATCGTCTAGTTGCATTCAAGCTGTCCATTGTGTTCCGTGTTTCCCCTCCTATGTCGAGGTCTTCACAATCCAATAAAACACCATATGAAATAGAATGGGGGAGAGCAAGCAGCCTAGCCTGGCACCGGTCTTCACTTGGAATGCGTCTGTCAGCTATCCTCCGTACATGACCTCTGAATATCTGTCGTATGAATTCCGTATGATGTTGACGATCTTCTTACGCACACCATAATGTCGAAGAAGGTTCCATAAGGTTATCCTATCCACACCGTTAAACGCCTTCTCATAATCAAGGAAGTTAATATATTCAACTGATCACTCAACAATGATCCGCAGTGTTACGATTTGATCTGTGTACGACTGATTATTACGGAATCCAGACTGTTGGGCGTCCACTAGATTTTTCATCCAGTTCAGCAACACCCTGTTGATAACTGATAGTACTGTGATGTCTGTGCATTTCTCACACTTGCTGAGATCTTGTTTTTGTGGTATCTTGATGAGGTGTCCTTCTTCCCAGTCTATCGACCCTTGTTCTTCCTCCCACACTTTTCTGTATAGAACGTGGAGCATGCTTGCAATTACTTCTATGTCTGACTTCAGTGCTTCGGCTGGTATATTGTCAAATCCTTCTGCTTTCCCACTCTTGATTTGTCTGATGTTCATGTTGATTTGTTCTATGGTTGATGGAGTGAAATCTATAGGAAGGTCTGTGCGTGGTGCTTCTATATCCGGTGGGTTTAGTGGGGCTCGTCTATTAACGTCTCTCAAAGTGTTCTACCCACTTGTTCTTCTGTTCTTGAATCTCAGTGATTGTCTTACCTTTGTTCTTGACTGGTCGCTCTGGTTTACTAAAAAGGAAGCTAGTTATAGGATATCCTAAATTAAAATAAATCACATTTCACAAATATAAAGCGGGACTGGTCATTATTATTTGTTACACATTCAACATTTTTGAAGGTATACTAATGCATTGGTGGTATCAGTGAGGATATTGAGTACCCCATACATCACCCGATCTTTCATTGAATGTTCAGATAATTTTGTTATTTATGAATTCGTGGTTTTAGTAGCAAAGTTGTCCGATTTTCAACTACCAGTTTGTGAGTTTCAGATCCTCCCCAACTACTGTGTTTCGGGCAGTCGGGGGTAGTAACATCAGCATTCACGCATAAAGTATGGCTCAAAGCTGAGCACACAGATCCTTACTTTACAAATGAGTTATATCACCAGGTGTTACTATACGAAGAGCGACCTTGTTTTCACAGTTTCTTGTAGCGGGGTTATGATTATCTGTCTGTATGATTTCTTGACTCACTTTAAAGGTTCATTCTGGACAGTTAGTGAAGGCATAATAAACCACTGTTGTGAAACCGAATGTTATCCTAGGCAAACATTTTTGGATCACTGAATTATTTGTCTAGAACACAAACTACGGTTCTCAGTATAGGCTCAAAAACTGCTATGAGTTCCACTTATCAACTCTTATTGTATGGTTTTCAGTCTTATTTAGTTCCCATGTTTGCTGGTAACGCCTGATCGACTCAAGTATTCAGAGAATGAAAGCAAAACCAAGTGTCGGAGTGTTTATCATCAAAAGCCGAATAAATCTAGCATATTTATAGTTGAATGTATATGGTAACGTTGACCAAGTAAATAATTTACTTATTTTCCCAGTATCTGCCCGACGCTTTCATTACATTTACCACACGACTGTGAGATATTGTCTAGCCTGCTATGTTATGCTCAACAAAATAACTTAGTTTGTACTATTATTCTAACAACACCTATATCCGTTCCTGCTATAAGCAACCATGTGTTTCGTAATGGCTTCAACATTTATTAATTTATCGGGTAAAGTCTAGTTAGTGCTGAGTTTTAGAATATTTTCCCCAAAGACTGATATGCTCGTTTTATGGAGCATATTCCTGAAATAGTTTCTTTCTAATCAGAAAATATGGGCTTTGGAAATGCTCGAAGTATAGTTTTGTATTGTGTCTCAGGATCTGAGAATCATTTCCAGATATTACTCTACGCACTTCTTGTCTAAGAAGGTAAATCTCGCTGATAATACCTCAATCTGAGCTAAGCGTTTATGCATCATAGTGTGTATTTTCACTCTGGGATTCGAACCTAGTACCTATTGCTTTAAACACAGACGGATTATCCACTGAACTACTGAGTTATTATGATTATTTTATTTTATTTTTACGCGATATTGGTTTTATAGACAACAAGAATTGGATAATCTTGTACACAAACAAATGTATGCCGATGCTGTTCATTTGGCTGTCAAATTAGACCAACCTAAGCGAACATTAGACATACTACAGGGTAAGATTACATTTTCTTGAATATTTATAGAAAACCGTTTTCATTGAGCAGTTTCCTTCTGAACATTTTTCTCTTGCATCACTCGATAAGCGATTTCTGTTTATTTTCCACCCAATTAGTCTTCAATCAATTCGCACTAGATTCTCTTTTGAATATATTTTTGTTTTGCTGGTTTAACATAACAACCTTGTGTTAACGCACAGTCGTACTTTAAAAGAAGGCAATAGGCAGACTGAACCTCTATTTATTTTGGGAAGTTACAAAGCGTTTACATAATACAGATACATAACTTTCAATCATCCATTTACATCTTCTATGCGTTTTGCAATATGAATAGTCTCCAAGTGTTCTGCTTACGCCATGCTTTCGCTCTACTGAAACTTCTCTCCGTCTGACATCTGTTTAAATCTTGACCCCACGTTTCGCTACATACTGCATATTTGTGAGTAGCGTCCACCACAGTACCAGGTTCAACATTGATTATGTCTAACTCACTGAATGACCTTTTCGTTAATATTTGAATACTCATTGATTAGTGGAATGATGTGATTGAACAATATTAAGTCGCTCAGTTAACAGTTCAAACTCTTTTTTTACTTCAAACATAAAAATAAATAATACGAATATTTGCTACTTATGTGCCTCCACATATTGTTAAATTCGATCAATTCTATTAAATATAATTTTTGATGTTTTTTGACGCTTAAAAGGCCATGTTGAATGGTTTTGACTTCCTGTCTATGATTCAAAAAAATACTTGTAACCAATGATTGGAGACAATGGCTAATAGCCCAAAATTCATCACAATGACACGGTTATATGTTATGTGAAGGAAAGGAACTGGACTATATATTTCAAAAAGTCATGAGGATTGAACGTCAGGATTTACTGTTTGAACTACCGGCGATCCTCTCGGATCGGACTACGCAATAGACCGAAGTACACAAACTATTTCGTTGTACAGTAAACATACATGAATATTCTTTATAAAATATTGTAACAGATGAAAATAGCATTACCGTTAATCACGTTGTTAATTCCATAAACTAAAGAGAGTAACCGATTTTTAACAATTCAGCTCAATTTTTCTCTCTAATCAATATTAATAAATCGGAAGAAGTACTGTAAATTGTCGGAATAATTGTAGTTCGAAGTTATTTCGTTTTTTTAATAGTAATTTCTACTAGGTTGGTGATTAACGACTAGTAACTCGAAATATAATAACTGTTTCTGTTCCTATATGCTTGTAGAACTTTTGACTCAAGATAATTTCAAACAGACTTGCAAAGATAATCAAAGTATCAAATATCCAACACAAGCTGCGAATTTATTGTCAGTACTTGATGATTTTGCAAATAAAAGTCACAGTGAAAATCTTAATGATTCACTTAATCTAAGTCAACGACTTTTATCTTATGCTATCAACTGGAATACAAGGACTAGAACATCAATGATAAGTCAGTTTGTATTGAATTGGATTCTAACCCGTTGGAAACCAGAAGAATTACTTGAATGGCCAAATTTTAGTCAAGCGATACAATATCTCCTTCCGTATACAAGTAAGTTCTGTTTTATACCTATTGTAGATTGACGGTACATCATAAAAGATGCTTCATTTATTGTTTGGTTGGATAGCATATACAGATAAACAACAATTCCTGAGATATTGACAGTTAACTATGTAATGGTATGTTATGTGATTGGTTGTAGTGTCTTTGATTGTAATACCAAGAGGAGAATAAACGTATTCCTGATGTCAATTATACATAGGCTCTTGAACAGTTCTTTGCAGAATGAATAGTGACGATTTTATCACTTTCTATGCAGCTTTTACGGATTCATATTTTTGTCAGTTTTCACCTATGGAAAATATATCAGTCATAATACAAGTCCATAATTTATTAATTACACCCACGGTTAGACCTTTTTTGAGAAAACTGGAATTTTATTCTTAGTTGAGATCATGAGTCAATTGAAGCTAGACCACCATGGGAAACCTGGAAGCACTGGGTGGTCGTTTCGTTATATTACGGGACTCCCCAGCAGTGCGCATTCACGACCCTGCCTCGTGGGGTTCGAATCCAGAACCTATCCATTTCGCGCACGAGCGCTTAACCACTAGACCACTGAGCTTGGTCTATTGTGAGATAGTAACTCGCTGATGACAATAGTGGATGTGTCGCTGAATTTCGTGGGTTAGTTGAAGTTAGACATTAACACCGTTGGATGACGGCCGGCTCAGTGGTGTTGAGGTTAAGCCCACACATAAATCAAATGGCTTGTATGGCTCATATGTATTCGCTGCCCCTTTGTACCATTATTTATGTGTTCAAGCAAATAACAATAAATGGGCATATATTTGACATAAAACTATAAATATAAATGTGCAGCTTAAGTAAATGATTTTGTCGAAAAGAAACTTTTCATTGTTGAATTCTCGTTATTTCGATTTGATGACACAATGGGTTATTTTGATTAAACTAGCGACTTGAAAATAGAACTTAATATAACTGCAAATGAAATTATAATATGACTAAACTACAAATTGGCACCAGAACTGTGATTAAACTGGAATTGAAATTTTAATGGTGTTCGATTCTATGAAGAAGGTAAACACTGCGACAGGAACAAGAAAAGATTTATTCCATAGATACCCAAATATCAAAGAATGAACTTGCTCATGTACAAACTTACATTCGTCATTATTGAATAACAGAAGTCACACTGTAGAAAGTTCACGCTGAATTTCGTTAGATAATATGTTACATAATGCAATTTCATATCAAAGGTGTTTGGTATACTGACGATAAAAGATACAATGGATTATTACCATAATCCTATATTAACCCTTGCCTAATAATTTCATGTCTTCGAGTGTGGATCACAATCTTTATTAAAGATATTTTGTAATGAGTGTATGTTTAGTTCAGGTACCTAAAGTCCATATTCTTTTTGCAATAACTATGTAGTACATCATTAAACAGATGATCTGTACACGATTTTCTCCCATGCTATCATATTGACAGTATAAATTGTAAGATAAGTTTCAATTTGGAAATATAGAGACTATATATATATATATATATATATAGTATGGAGTTTTGTAAAGAATACAATAGCCGTACACTATGATCCATATTCAGTCTTGTTATTAATGCCATGTAACCCATATACTATTCAACTCTAGTTCTGTATATATGCCTATATACTACTTTATTGTTTTTCAGTAACGTAATAAATTTAATCAAATATTTAGAGCAGTAACTTTCTGTGTTTTTATTTCTTGAACCATAGCTCGTCATTATCAACGTATATGTAGATTGGAAGAACAACTGGCAATTCTAAACTATATTTCTGAGGTGACTGATGAACATTTAATTTCTACTAACACTTTTCATGAACCAATGGAGTTAGACAATGATCAAAATAATGTATCATTTAATTCAACTCAAAATGTCAATACTTCACTTTCTTAGATAAGGTGATTAAATTATCTTCTTATTCATTATGTATACTATGATATTATACAACTTCACCTATTGACCTTTTTATACGGTTGTTTTCAGTTTACTAATAGTATCATGCCATAAATACAATGTGCATTTGTTTTGTATTTTTGAAGGATTTATTCGCAACTACCAGACCGGTTTTCTACGAGGTTGCAGATTTATTGACCACATCTCTATTCTCCATTGAATTTTAGAGTAAGGAAATCACTTATATTTTCCCAGAGAGATTGTGGATGTGCATTGTTGAGAAGCTACATACTAACCCAAAACACCTGTCCAGTCCTTTCTGGTTTTCAGCGGTTGTCTTATTAAGATCATTCGTTGACATGAATTATAAGATATGTTGTTCTAGTGTAATCTTAATTTATAGATATATTGATTACACTCAATATAATTTAAGGTCCGTGTTAGTGTCACTAGTTTGTAAAGAAGTGATATACCAACTAATAACTGTAAATTTTAAGGACTTTTATTTTGTAAGTACAAGTATTCAGCAAATGAATCGTTCGAATATGTCTACTGTCATCTGTGCACATCTGTGTTGGTCAACGATTAAGATCATGGATTAGTGATTCAGGTAGCTTGTATATCGTATAAAGTGACCAATTTGCGAGGCGTAACCATTTTTTAATCGGTGTGAGTATTCGAATTTCGAATTACAGTAACATTGGGTATAAGCTAATGATAACTGTACTCGTTTGGGTTGTGTTAATGAATATTTCTTTCTTTAGTAATTCGTTTAGTTCAAAAATTATTATTATTATACATGAATTGATTACTGAGTGGTAACTCCTAGTCATTTGTATGAATCTATCAGTCAAAAAGTGTATTGCGTGTATTTCATAGTTCACTGTTTTGGTTTGTGTTGTACACCTATTCTCTTAAAGAGGTATTAAGAAAAGTATAAGACAAATGCTTAACTGTCAAAGGTATAATAGAAATATACTTATATACGTGACTTTTATCTATCCATCCGTTCGATATCTACTTTCTTACTTTGGATGACTAATATCTGATTGATCTTAATAAAATAGTCTACACGTACCAACTCAGCTCATTTAGTAGAATCATAAGGTTCTTGGACTAAAGTTTTCTTGTTTGGTCATCCTTAACTTTTTCCAGCCCAATTCATAGTAAGCTATGTTTAGACAAGTAATATAACTCGGTCACTCACATGGTGAGACTATAATTTATGGATAGCATTTAAGCGATGTTAAAGTGACCTTGAGAATGTCCATCTACGTAGTAGGACCAAATGTTTGTTATAAACCATAGTGAGGAACTAGAATTAGGGTTTACTGTTGATGGTTAGGGTTAAGAATTAGATTTCGGCTTTTCATCATTAACTGTCATCAGCTATAAATGTCAAAATGATATTTTGTTGAAATTATGGATAAATTTCGTGCCAAAATCCAAAACTCATTATCTTATATCTGATTGGTTTGTCAATCAATTATAGTGTTGCCAAGGTATGATTAAATACTTAAAATTTACGCATATATATATTCATATAACTCTATCTTCTGATATGTCACTCTTATTGATATTGGTTTTAAAATTTCTTCATTCAGATCAACGATAAATGATGTAAACGTTTAATCAGCACAACACAAATCACTGTATATAAATAAAATCTTTATGAGAGTGTACAATCTCTTTCTCTTTTCTTCTGTCCTTGAAACAATTTCCAGATTGTGTATATGTATATCCATTATTCAGTCATATGATAAATCTATAATAAAATCCAATAGAAAAAATGAAGTATATACATATTTTATGAAGTAAATGTTCATGTATTTTTGTTATTCTTTGGTTTTTCTTTTGTAAGATGATAATCATGATGCTGATGATGATGACGATAGTCTTTATGCTCGTCGTTATACTCCATTTAAATAAACAAGTAAATATTAGAAGAAAAGAAAAATAAATAAATAAATTATAAACAGTTGAGATCATGAGTCAATTGATGCTAGACCACCATATAAAACCTGGAAGCACTGGACGGCCGTTTCGTCCTATTGTGGGACTCCTCAGCAATGCGCATCCATGACCCCACAACGGCCGTTCAATGCTTCCAGGTTTTCCATGGTGGTCTAGCTTCAATTGACTCGTGATCTCAACTGTTTAAAATTACTACAATCTCCACAAAACCCCTTCTGATACTAAATGAATTATCCCTACAGCTTAAAATTTTAAATATGGTTAAATACTACTGTAGTGAAGAAGAACACGAGTGGGAACAATCGAATGTATTTGAGCACAAAATTACAGAACATCTCACTAAAATCTGGGAACTATATAATAAATAGTTAATTTGCAAAATATCAATTCATCGTCCTAAATTTGACTGTTCCTTTTGCAAATATCAGTCCCATGTCTCAGATTCATGCATATTCTTACTAATTGCATTACGTTGCCGTTCTTTCCTTATCGATTTTCTACTGAAATACATTCTATGCCTACTTATGTGAATATAAGTAACCCACACCACACTACTAGCAATATTCAAAAGAAGGAGTTTGTAATTTTGCTAGCTTGTAATCTGAACGCTTTAACTACTACATTCTGCAGCCTTCCAAACAGGTGGGAAATTTAAAAGAAGCTATTTCTTGTTCAATGAACAAATTATGTTTACACAATGAATGTATTTAGAAGATTATAGGCATTTTAAATTATTTTGAAAGTTATGGAATTAAAATGAACTGATTTCGTCCCAGTAGATCCTCATCAGCTGTTCATAGTATATAACGTTTTAAAATCAAATTAAGAAATGGAAGTTCACTTACTTCAATTCATAGAAATTATGTTAGTCACTTATTATTGTAAACAAGTTATAACTTAAAGTGAAATGCTACATGTAAAATAACATGTTCTTTGAAGAAGTGATACTGTGAAATTATTTTCAGTAATTTCCTTAAATATAGAAATCATTCCAAAACCTCTTGACTAAATGAATTTCATCACTATTAGCCTGTAAATAGTGTCACGATTAAAATTATCCGTATATTTGTTATATCTAAGAAATATCAATGTACATCACTTTGTAAGTTCGCTTATCTGATTCCTGTTCATAATATAATTTGGCCCCGCATATCCTGTTTAGTATCGTTTTTGAACCTTGACCAATGATACGATCTGACCAAAATCTCGAGTTAACGCAAACTTCACTCTTATTGATCTTAAAGCTCTCACGCCTTTCTCTGTCCCCAGATTTGACTTTAAATACTGCAACTAAGCTTCTATTATTATTTATTTAAAGCAAAAATAGGTTGACATGTAGACATACCGAATCACATCATACCAGAAAATAGAATATTATAATTTCAACAGTTGAGATCATGAGTCAATTGAATCTAGACCACCATGGAAAACCTGGAAGCACTGGACGACCGTCTCGTCCTATTGTGGGACTCCTCAGCAGTGCGCATCCATGACCCCGCCTCGCGGGATTCGAACCTAGACCTATCACTCTCGCGCCAGGCGCTTAACCAACTAGACCACTGAGCCGGCATACAGATGGTGTTAATGTCTAACTTCAACTAATCCACGAAATTGAGCGACGCATCCACCATCTCAAATGTGGCAATGAAACTGGACAAGTTTGATGTGATTAGCAACAAATTAAGAATAGTAATAGCTAAATGGGTTAGAAAGTTTACAACAAGCGCAACGGTAGTCCAGTTATTTCGTAATTATACAATATATATATATATATATATATATATATATAATAGTTTGTAAATTAGTTTCATTGGTTACAATCTTTATCATTCACCCCAGAGCAACCATTTCACATTAATTTTAATCTATAAAATCTGAAGATTTGAGCTACAAGACGTGTTTTTTTAGTTATATGTAATTATGAAGAGCTTAGGGTAATGTGAGATAGTATATAAATAAATAAATATCATACGACACGTTTGACACGTACGAAAAAAAAGTAAATTTGTACCTATTCATAGTAGTTTTTAAGTGTAATTAGAAATGACTTGGAAATTACACTGAGTTATGTATTTGTAGTTTGATTAAATTTAGTTGTATTACAAAATGTGAAATATAACAATTAGGAATATGTATTTGTTTAATCGACACTGTTATTCTGAGCCTTGCAAGTTATCATTCCAAACTACATATTAGCACCCTCAATGCTCAAACCCTATGTAAAAATCGGCCAACATAGATTTTAACTAAGGCTATGGATTGTTGTGATATCAACGTATCCTTTCTCTGCAATTCATACAGGACTCATATTTGGTTATTCATTTAACTTCACCTAGTTAGGTTGAAAGATTGGAATATCTCTTCGTGTGTTTGATGTTTTGACAGCTTAATCTTTTGTCATCACATCGTTTTCTCTACTTATTGTTTTACCGACTGGAACACAGAAGAAGTAGGAAATAGGTTTTACGAGTATCTCTCTGACCTAAACCTTATATTCCTGTTAGGGATGCCGAGGAATATAGCAATAATTATCGTGTTAGGTCTAACGGTGTCTATGGACGTTAAATGGACATTTCCATTGGTCGATATTCATTTCACCTGTCAAATATTGTACAAATGTTGTTTTCTATTTTATGGTACGTTGTGGTCTCTTTGGTTGGTATATAAATAGAGTATGTCTGAAATATAATGATTCATATCTCAGAGGCTGTGACTTGCGTTCTGGACTCAACTGACTGGGATAAACAGCGGAGCAGGACCAATCGGGTTTCTAGGTCGTCTTTACGTGTCACTGAATCGATCGATAAATACGCTGCGCATCTAAACTGCAGTCCACCCGTTACAACAATTCCCAAACGTCATTGTATCATATGATTGTAGCCCCCAGATAGGTTGGCTAAATCAAAGTAAAGACATGTTTTGTTCCCAGCTCAACGAATAGATGATGATGACCCTCCGTTAAAACATCTGTATATTCCTATCAACCACGGACTCAAAATAATAATGAACAAATCTGGATGATCACATTAATTTAATTAGAAACTCAAATATCGAATGTTTATAAATCACTTGATTCCTTAAGCGAGAAAGCACATGGTTTTTCTTACACCGATCGATACGGTATAAACGTGATTTTTTTGTTATTCTGATTTCTGTAGTATGTATGCATATATAAGTGCTTACGACATTTCATTGATCTACTAAACTAGACAGTTATTAATAGATATCATTCAGCATGGTTGTGCGTCAAGTATCTGGATACATCGGTGGTTTGTCTAGTTTTGAGTGTTAATCAAATTCTATCGACCGAGTTGTAATGCGTAGTCTGAATTACTTAATTTAATGATAGGCGTTGTTTTGGAGATCACCACTATAATAAAACTGCTAAACTAGGTTCGTAAAATTTGTCTACTATCCGTATGGTGTGTCTGAAATTTCGAGAGAACTAGTGCTTCGTATGTAGCGTAAACGTGCATCACAGACACATCATCTGCTTACAAGTGACTAGCTTTGCGGAGTTATTCTTAGAGTTCTAGTGAAAGGTCAATGACCAGTGGAGTTCAACGGCGTCGGGAGTGGGGCAATTATTAACCGAGGACAATGGGAGATGGACACACGATATCATAGATTGGCTGAAGTTAGACATTAACACTGTTGTATGTCGGCTCAGTGGTCTAGAGATTACGTGTTTGCGCACGATGCCTAAGGTGCTACATTCCAGCGAAATGTGCGGGATCGTGGTTGCGCACTGCGGTGGAGTCTCATGTCGGGGCGACGCAGCTGTTCAGTGTTTTCAGGTTTACCATGGTGGTATGACATTCTGTCTGTGATCTCAATAAAAAAATAGACAACTATGTTCCAATTAGGACGGAAATACATTAAAACCCTATAGAGAGTGTTAGCTTTCTAAGAACTGCACATGCGCTTTTTTAATATTAACCAACTGATTAATACTTGAGTCCAGGAATAATGATCTATTGTCCTCAAACACGTCACACAAAAGGTCTGTCTACACTGACCGTATTCTATAAGCTTGCGTTAAATCATTTAACCTTATTGCTACATAAATTACCAAACCTGTAACCAAATATCTGTATGGATCATTTAATTGATTTAATAATATCTTATATCTCTTTAAATTTCTTTTCACTCCCAATATAATTAGTTCACAGTAAGTAGACCTACTTAAATTGGCCTAAATATGTGAGAAAAATTGATTAATCTGTCATTCACAATTATTATTATTGACAGAGTATGGGTGGGCTATGAGTTTATCTAAAGGTATTATATTACTCAGCTTGCGATTAAACTATTTTCTAGTTATGAAAATTAATATAACGTTAGAGGAAATATATTCTCTCGTTTCCATGATATTTTATTATAATACGATAATCAAATTAGTTACCGAGATTGTGATATTATTAGACTGGATACCCGATCGATATACTATGCGCAAACAGGATCACGTTACACTAGGTACACGATTCACGACCAAATATCGAGAAACAGAGTATAGAATAGACAGTATTTTATTCAACAGCATTTATAAAGTAGTCTAAACTCAGAAGTCTAGAATGGAAATCAATAATAGGAAGTAAATCACAAATCAAACTTACGCCTGTTACTCCTCGTGAAGGAGCACAGGCCAATCACCAGCA